CTAATTTGTTATTGTTGATGTGTTAAGGGTGTATTTGGTATTTATGGTTGGTGTTTATTGATTGTTTATATTATTATTGGCATTGTTTTGAAATAATGATGGGTCTTGGTATTTGGTGATCATATTGATTTTAGTGATAATGGTGGTAATGATTGTTATTTATGTTATTGTTTATTTCTTTATTATCATTGCTATCATCAATCATCATCATTTTCATCATCATCATCATCATCATCATCATCATCATCACCATCACCATTATCGTGTTCACTGTAGTATTGTTTTGTGAAATGTATGTAAGAGTCAGATATTAGTGGGGATACCGTCACTATTTTTATCATCGTCATCACCATCATCAACACCATCGTATTCACTGTAGCATTGTTGAATATGTGTACCGTCAGATGGCTCCACAGGTGCAGCGCCACCACGGAGCCAATTAGACCAATGTGGCTTAACCCGATTTCCTCTTTTCCTCGATTTTTTTCCTTTTCTTTTTCTTAAGTATTGGTATTTATCTCGATGTTGCTGTTGTTACTATGGACTTCCGGCCGGTTTGTCAAAATTTTGCGAGGCCCCACTCAATATTCACGAATACGGACTTGCATATATATAGAAAAATGCATATCTATCTATAATGTATATCTTTCAGGTAGATAGACAAATATTTTATTTCTGTCATATTGCATATATATAGAAAAAATGCATATCTATGGCCATACGGGGAGATAAATGTATATCTTTCAGATAGATAGACAAACGTGCATTTATTTCTGTCATACGGACTTGCATATATAGAGAAAAAATGCATATCTATCACCATACGGGTAGATAATGTATATCTTTCAGGTAGATAGACAAATGTGCATTTATTTCTGTCATACGGACTTGCATATTATATAGAAAAAATGCATATCTATCACCATACGGGGAGATAAATGTATATCTTTCAGGTAGATAGACAAATGTGCATTTATTTTTGCCGTATAAGCGTATTTGTGAATATTCATTGGGCCTCGCGCGATTTTAGCAAACCGGACGATCGTGATTCTTAGCAGTGCCGATGGTCGTGAAGGATGAAAACAAACATAACATGGAGGAAAGGGTTCAGTGCCGATGGTCGTGGAGGATGAAAACAACATAACATGGAGGAAAGGGTTCATGCCGTGGTCGTGGAGGATAAAAACAAACATAACATGGAGGAAAGGGTTCAGTGCCTATGGTCGTGAAGGATGAAAACAACATAACATGGAGGAAAGGGTTCAGT